AGGGCATAAAGCGCATGCCTTGATTAGAGGAATAAATTTGTCAAGATTTGGACTAAAACATAGTATTTGTATAGGTAACAGGATGATTTGTAGTGATATTTGGCATAAATACCATGAGTGATATTTCAAAATTGTTATAAGTAATTTCACAAGCCGTTAAGCGAGTGAAATTTGAGACAATTTTGAAATATCACGAGTGGTATTTATGCCTAATATCACATACAAATCATGCTATTATTTGTTTATGCTACTACCTGTGAAAGGTTTGTAATTTTCACATGTAGGTATTTCAAAGTTAAGCTGAAATACCACTGCTCTAAGCCAATCAAATTGCAGAAATCACCTCATGTTGTAGCATAATGCACTGATAGTTTTGTCGAAACTATATACTAAATTGAGGCTAAAATGATGCAACACATCGTTTTCTTGGTAGTTCTGTTGGAGCTCCCTAAGTCTAAGGGAGCAGTGCGCTTCAGGCAGGTGGTGATTCCATTCAGGGACTAGATATATATGAGACCAGTAATAATAATAAGGCTATGACTACACCTTAACGGATAGCTTTTGAGCCGACACGCAAAACCATGGAGGGTGGGACTTCTGTTCACACTTATAGAACGGTGATTTCGGTGCGATTTCTGTAGCACTGCGAAGATGCGCTGCAACGATCTTGAAAGTGAATCCTTCAATATATACAGGAAAGGTTTCTACCACTCTTCGTTGCAGTGTGAACAGGTATACGGATCGTAGCGGAAGTAGATAAATAAGAGCGAGGACTGGAATCCACCGAGACTGAAGTAAATATTAAACAATTGTTGGATGAGGTTTTTGTGATATCCGGAATAATGTCGAGTTTCAGAAAATATCCATACCCTCCACCCCCCCGCCCAACACACGGAGGGCAACGAAAATTCTGAGGGAAGGGGGGGGGGAACCAAAAGGAGACAATTTTCGAGGGGGTGGAGGTGGGGTGGCCTCTCGAGTCTTTTTTTTTTTTTTTTGGGGGTCCGAGTAAGATTGATGAGCAAACAAACAGTTATTTTGCTGTTAATCGGTGTTCCAAAGCAAACGTTAGGGAGCTTAAGCAGCGACGTTTTTGAGCGACGCACGTCAACCGGAAGTGAGGTATTTTCCCTCTTAACATGCTTTGATGATATAAAATTTGGATTCCTTAGCTTCTTTACTGTTATAGAGGCGATTTGACTGAAAATTTGCGCGAAACCACCGTCAAAATTTGAAAAAAGGCCACTTCCGGTTGACGTGCGTCGCTCAAAAACGTTGCTGCTTAAGCTCCCTATTAATGTTTTCATCGATGATCTTTTATTGGCGGTCGGCTGAGTGCCTTTTTCACGGCTTGTACGATAGTTTATGTAACCCGATTATTGTCGGCTTATGACTAAACTTCCAGTTATCTATCTGTTGCTTTGTTACATAATATTATTGTGGTATTCAATGCAATGTGTTCATGTTCTAATAAGCCTTCTTTTAACACGTTTTTCACCAAAAGGAAGTAATTGAAGTTCACTGGTTTAAGAGATGGCATCACGTGTGTCGTGTACGGCCGTACGGCCTCCATGGTTCTCAGAAACTTACCGTTAATAATTAACTAAGAAAGACCTGTACAAGGCAAAATTGAGATTATTTGACACTGTATTAAAATAAATAAAAAATAGTTTTTCTCTCTTATAAGCAGAAACCGATTGTCTTCTGCATAAAAGTATAGTGCTATGGAGTTTTTGACGGAAATATTATTTCGAGGGAGTACCTAACCAAGTTCGAAAATTATGGAAATTCCAGGGGTCGCAAGGAACCTGAATTGACATTGTTATTGAAAATCATGCACTGCGGGCGCAATATACAGATTAGTCAATTATTTGCTAATAGATAACTAAGTAATTTGTAGTTTGGGCTGATTTCCAAAATTAGTTGTAGGCTCTTAGCCAATGAGAAGACAGATAGTGAGTACATTGTATAATAATCAGAGTAAGTGCACGAAACTCTCTGCGCAAACCGCTTCGGTGCGATGGTCCATGTGTGTGAGTGACTTCTTGCAGATCTATGACGTTGCCGTTCGTACTAAATTCATGGTCGGCATGAAAAGCTTTCCGGTATCCTTTAGACGTAACCTACGCCAAATATCATTTAGTCAGCATAATTATTCAAAAACTATAAAACAATATCTAAACCTATAATTATGCTAACTAAAGCACGTATGAAGTTGAAAGTCGTTTGTCAAGGCCGATGTAAACTTAACTTGAGAAAGAATTGTGCCTACAATACAAACACCTGATTGCAACAAAACACCAAGTTTAAATAAACTATTATTATTTTTATTATTCTATTTCCAGTTTAAAAGTTATAATGTAACCAGCTGCCTGCTAGGTTCTCCTAACAACTTTTAATCAAGGTGTTCAAAATATATGTTTTAAAAAGAGTTTACTTTTGTGTGTGCTCCACAAAGAAAATTAATTGCTTTTTAGTTTCGAGGACAATCTTTTTGTAATTAGCTATAATATATTTACATACATCGATATATAATTTTCCGTATCTTCTAGTAACTTGGCAAGAAAACCGAAGAACCCGTGGGCATTACTACACTTCAAAACAGGACGTGAAAGGACTGGCAGGCTATTTTATGATCATGTTGGGCAAACTTACAATTTAAGAAATGAAATTTATTCCTCATACAAAAAATTAAGGCAACAGCAATTCTTTCTTCTACAGATTTTACGAATTCGCTAAACCAAAAACAAAAAAAAAAGGTAAACTAAAGAAAAACCATTAAAAACAAATTCATTTGCTTTCAGCTGTCATTGCTGAGTCTGGTAACATGCTTATAAAGTTACTGTTGAGAAACAATTAATCAAAACAGGGCCATACGTGCACTAGCTTAAAAATCTCACGGTAAGTCAGTAAACATTTTTTGACCACGTTGAGTGCTGATGTGTTGGACAATTGACAATCGTCTCTTAGTTTTGCAATTTTAAATGACTCGGGACCTGCTATTTCGGTTAGGAAAAACTCAATTCCAGCATGGGTTTAGAATTTGCGCAAAAATTTGTTATGTGTGCTATAGTGTTTATTTCAAATGTTGTTTAGTCAATGTTGGTGGCTGTTAATTATAACTAAGTCGATCAGTCTGTTTAATCCCTTATGCGCTTGCATTTGTTGACGATCTTTTTGCTGTCTATTCCACCAAATATTAGTCAACTTTAAATAAATTATACCCTGCAGTAAATCTGACACTTTAACGCAATTTACGACTCAATTTTACCATAAACAACCACTTTCTTCTTCCATACAGTTGATCGCTGCTTTTCAAAGTAGCATTCAAGAGCTATCCTCACCTTATAAATCTGCAGGTATTTGAAACTGAAGGGCGTTCTCGGTTAACTGCAATTTCGAGAACTAATAAAGCAGCTGAGATTTGACAGGAAAAGAAGCAGGGGTTTTAAAACTTCAAAACCAATTTGCAATGTCTTCCGTTCGAGTTAAATAGTAAAATGTTTATTAGTTAAACTCCGCGACCGATATAAGCTAATCAAAGTATATAACACGCTTTTGAAATCAAACCACGGCCATATTTAGTATTAATAAAAGTATTACGCAAAAGGGAGGATTTAACGTACCTGGTTATAAAAAACTGCGTCAACGAAGGCTAGATTAAAAAGTTAAATATAGCTTGCACAAAAATACAATCATTAAGATAAGTCATTTTTGCCTAAAGAGTTGACTAAATGGGCTTCATGCTTGAAAGCACGGTAGATTTACATTAGTTTTTGCTCCACCTGCAGTTCAACCCCTAGTAGAGACTTCGGGGAACGTAAGCAACAACGACGACAGTGGCGGAGGGAACACATTTCTTAAAAAAACTCATGCTGTCTCATAATTCATGGCTCTTATTTTATGGCGTTCAATTTGCCAAATGTTGGTCAATTTTTCTGAAGTTGAGTTCTGACAGACTGTATCTTTTAAAACAGAAGTAGAAAGCCCTTTTATTTGTCTACTGCCTTGTCGTTTTGCGGTCATGCAAGAAGGCAAAGACGAAATGTACAAAAAAGCGCTAAGCCGAGCAGGAGCAAAGTTTTTGTTTTGCTAATCTAAACTTATTGCCTTTTCGCCGTTCTCGTGCCGCCGCCGCCGCGTTCGTTAATTGCTTGAGTTTCCTTTCACCTCATAAACAACTTAACGTTCTATTAAAAAAAAAATGCGAATTTGATTAAACCTTGAATAATTAACCATATAAGAGCTCAGACGCACCATTAACGTCATGGAGAATAATTTGCACAAATATTCTTAAAAACGTGGGAGAGACTGTTTCAGATTAAAAGGGGAAAAAACTATAAGCAGATCAGCTTTTGACAGAAAAAAAATAAATAAGTGAATGAATGAGTAAATCGATAAAATCAATCAAAACGAGCAGTAGTCCTAAATAGCTTCCAGGCTCCTTTTTTTTTTCTTGTTAAAGGAAAGCGAAGCAAAATAAGTTGGATTGCCTTTTCAGGCGTAATTGCTCATTTAAAATCACAGAAACTCATGGTTAGGTTGTAACGACTACCTGAGTCTATGGCAACATTTTGTTACAACCACGTTTTGACGTCATTTTTATCCTATTACTAACACTGACTAAAGCGGATCTGACGCATTGCAAACAGGATTCCATATATCAAAAAGGGCAAAATATAATTTAAAAAGTTCTATATAACAGCAGACATTTCCTTAGTTATACTGAAGTTTCTTTGTCTCATTTTCCCGTCATAACTTAGAATAAGAAGATCGATTGAATTTAAAAAGCCTGGTAAACGCTGTGAATTTAAAGATTTTATTTTCTTTTCAGAATACCTGCAGAGCGACAAAAAATAGTAACAACTGGATTTCGTCTCAAAAGCGCTAGAGAACGACTTGTTAGAAAAGACTTTTGCTGTTAGTGAAAAGACAGCTTCCACAGGAATATTTCGCAGCACAACAATCGAAAAAATATATATATCATATCAATTAGCATCATGGCGAACAGGTCAGACCCAGAGCTTTTCTCCCAGAACGTGACAGAAACGTTAGACTCGAGGTCAGCACAAGTTTTGATGATCCTTCAACTTTTTTTCTACTCCATCATAGTAGTAGTCGGTTCCGTTGGTAACGCCTTAATCTGCCTGGCAATCCTCAGTCGAAAGAAAAGAAAGACAAGTGAATATTTCATTCTCAACTTGGCAATCACTGACTTATCAACCAGTATCGTCAGCATTCCACTCGACATTATAGAGCGTCTTGCTGGTTTTTGGCCGTTTGGCGCGTTTCTGTGTAAGTTAGTCTACCCGCTTCAGACTATTCTCATGGCCGTTTCCGTGGCGACGCTTCTGGCTATGAGCCTTGAACGTCATCGAGCAATAATGTACCCTTTAAAACCCCGGATGAAGGGGAGAAAGCCTTTAGTTACGATCTTTATCATCTGGATTGGAAGCAGCGTCCTCGTTTCTCCCTATATTTATGTACTGGGCTTTGATGGATCAATCTGCACTGAAAATTGGCCGGGTGCATCTTTTGTCAAAGCCTACACCATGTCCGTTTTTATTGTGCTCTACGTTTGCCCCCTATTTGGCATCAGCGTGGCCTATGTCAGAATTGGAAGAAAGCTTTACAGGGATATTAACAACATGAAAGTCATCATGGCTGATTCTGAAGGTGGTCTTACGGGAAAACAAATGCTTAAGACACGTGCTCACCGTAATGTTCGCATAGTTAAAATTTTCGTCACAGCTGTCATCGTATTTGCAGTGTGCATGTTGCCAAACCACATAATGTGGTTGTGGAATGATTATGGTGATGGGGGGAGCTCAAAATACTTCACGGATTTCTTAGTTTTTACAAACATTTTGGTATACGCTAACAGCTGTATCAACCCTTTTATATTCGGGACTCTTCAAACTCGCTGTACGAACTGCAGAGACTTCATGAAAGGCTCACAAGATGGAGATGAGAGTAGCGGTCACAAGAGGTTATTCTCGATGCGCATGTCTTTTACAAGCTCGTCCAAGCTAAGGAGTAACCTTCGAGGGACTCTACAACGACAGAGTCAAACCTATCGAAGCATTGTACTTCATACTGGAACTGGGACTCCCGCAAGAGAATCGTTGCGAGAATGGCAGAGGCTTGAGTGCTCACCTGACACCGAAAGCAACGTTTGAGTTTCTCTTATTTCTTTCTTAATTTGCCATTTTTTTCTACAACCTGGCCCAGTTGTTCAGAAGGTGGATAACGCTATTCACCGGGTAAATCACTATCCACTGGCCATGGATGACACTACTGTGTTCCCTAACACATATCCACTGGATATTAATCTATCTGGATGATGGCGCTATCCAACCTTAAACAACTAGAGCCTGTATACATGTAGGTATAAATTCATATTATAAGAACACTTGTATTAAGATCTAAGGGGTAACATTTCAAAAATTACTGACATTCACTGAAGCCTGAACCGAATTCCGCTACAATCAATTTCTAATTCCCTACTGTTCAAACACTCATTTCTTCTCCACACTGCAAAAGAAACAAGAAAAAAAGTCTTGGTCTCGCGACATTTATTATAGACTGACGTGTTGTGGCTGTAGTTAGTTTCAGGGAGTACATTTAGCCAATTCTTATTTCAAGCACCTTTTCTAATGATTATATGGAAAATATGTTTGTGGTAGTTTTTAACAGTTTAAACTGTAAAACTGAACAATTTTAAAAAATAAAATACTTGCTTTTTATTGATAATCAATAGATTACGAGTCTGCAATCATAAAGGTTGGAAACTCTGGTGACAATTTGGCTATTTGTTTTAAACGAAAACGGATAACTCAAAAACATGCATATACTGGTTGATTACAATTTACTAGCGCAGGGCAAACCGGTCGGTTCACGGTTTGAAGAAATGGTACAAAATTTGACGCTAGTAAATTTCTTTCGGGAATAACGAAAAATTAAACAGCTGCAAAATCTTGAACATGGTATCAAAAATGAGTGAAACAAGAATGTCGGTTTCTTGGTACATTTCCTTAAGGAAAACTAGAGCTACAACCAGTTGCAAAGTACTTGAGACACTACCGTATTTTGGCATAAATGGGCTGTCCATGATCTTGTGCTTGTAATCCCCGTCCACCCCTTATCAAAGTTGCTAGCAATAAAAGACCATGCTTAAAACTTGGAGGATCAACTTTGAATGGAAGGGAGGAAGGAGGTCAGTATCATATCTCACAGACCTGTGACCTGAGGAGCGATTTGAAGGAAGAAAGGTCATTTTTTCGAGGGAGTGTCTCAACAGTTTTGCAACTCAGGTTGTACCTTTTTATAAGTTTCGTTCCTCCTGGACATTTTCTACTGGAACGGCCCGAAAAGAGTTCCTTTTAATTTCCGACCTGAATTTCCGAAAACTTTTTCGTAAATGGTAAACCAAGCCTGTGACGACTGTGTGGCAATGAGAGGAATAATCTAGGAACGTAATGGTGATTCTACTATTTGATGAGCTAAAGTACCTTCCAAGAACTTGTCGTCAGTTAAAAGTCGACTCCTTATACTCTGAATTCTCACACGTTTTTTGGCTTTCTTCGGCTACTTTGGTAACTTTGCATATCAACAAATTTGTATACCTTACTTAGTTTCCTTTGCCTATTCTTATATTTCATTCTTTAGTGAAGGGGTCTGTCTTATCCTGTGTGTCTGTGAGCAATGCTCAAGAAATGTGAATTGACTTGGTTGAAACACGAGAGAGGGTGCCGCACAAAGGCCTGCCAACCCCATTTAACACCATCAATCAAGCAATTTTGAGAGTTTTCTGACTCAAGATGTTTTTTTTTTTTTTTTTTTTACGATGTTGCTTTTTTTTTTCGCTTGTAATCTAATGGTACTGACATGTCTTTAAGGAAAGGATGGTTTGGACTATTTTGGGCGTGTATTCATGGCCTCATCTGGCTCGTTCGTTACAATTTCAAAGTCAGCCAAATATCGGGTAAATATTAAGGTCTTTTAATTTAAGGTTATTTAACTACTTTAGCGTTGATTCTCTACTTAAAAAAAGCCTTTAATATAAAATCTAGCAGCGGCTGATAAAAAAGAAAAAGCTTTGCTATCACTTAAATTAACGGCTACCGACACGTGCCAAGTTAAAGTTACAAATTTCGGGAAAGCTGTGTTTATGTTAAGCTTCACTTTGGAATTTATAATTGCTTAGTAGGCGTATTGCTTAGTAGATTACTAACGTTTTTTCATTAGAAAAAAATATTCGCCGTGATTTCCTGTCCACCTGGATTGATGAATCTTAGCTTTGATGCTATTAAAAACATATTTCTGTTAATACTCTGGAAATCCTTCCATTAGTGGCGAACAAGCTCTTCAGAAGAGCAATTCTCCGCCAATAATGTGCCGTGATTACGAACATGAAGGGAGATAAAGTAATCCTTCAAAATAGTTAAAAGCGATTTATAGACCTTCAACCCAATAGGCAATCCTGTCATAGCTACAAATACAATGAAGCAAAACCAACTGTAAGGTATGAATTCCAGTTCTGCCTCAGACACAGCTAGCACAGTTCATGGATGTGTTCAGTACATACCACAAGGAACTTTCGATCAAACTACCCCAGAAGCTTATGGCTGGATTGTCTTCATTGCTGTCATAAACATCATTACTTGCCCACTTACAGCTGCCACAAATGCGCTGATCATAATCGTTGTTAAGACGAAACATCGATTGAAAACCAAGTCTAACATTGCGCTTGCCTGCTTGTCGACTACTGATTTGGCTATGGGGGTGATCGGCCAACCAATTTTCATTTCTGTGGCGATAGCAGAACTGCAAAGAGACTCGCCAACCTACTGTATAAGAATACTATTATCGAGAATCGCTTTGAGAGTATTAAGTATTGCATCATTGTCTCACTTGGCCATGCTAAACGTAGAGAGGTACATTGCCATTAAACGTCCCCTGAGGTACGAAACCATCGTCACGGAAAAACGCCTGATATGTCTGTCTGCTCTCCTGTGGATTTCCGTATTACTCTTAAACGTATCATCATCTTTCATTGACAAGAAACTCTATATTGCAGTTGACAACGGTATGATCATTTTTTGCGTGGCCACAATTGTCTTATGTCAAGTCTTGCTTTATCACGAAACACGTCGGCATCAAAAACAAATCGCAACCCATCAAGTCTCGTTGGAAGCCAGAGAGAAATTCTTGAAGGAGAGAAAAGCCTTTAAAGTGACAGCAACAGTACTGTTCTTCTTGATATTGTGTTATTTACCTTCAATAGTAGCACGAACGCTAATATCATATTCCGTAGTCAATTCAGTTAATTTAGCATACGTTGCCCTTTCTACTGCCTACACTACAGCAATTTTGAACTCGTTGGTCAACCCAATTATTTACTGCGTACGAATTGCACCGTTTCGCGTTGCGTTTATTCAACTGATGTGCGGAAAAAAGCCCCAAGCAAGCTAAAAACATCGTAAAACGAATGGAAGGAAGAATAAGCCGAATTGGCTCTGAGTCTATAGCCCATGAGGCCGAAGGCCGAATGGGCTATTGACTTAGAGGCCATGAGGGCGAGAGGAATAATTGTTTTAGTGAAATCCAGCTAGTTGGTCAAAAATATCGACTCGACATAAAACAACTTAAGTTAGCAAAACGCGATTCAGCCGCCATTGTTTTGGTTTCAAAGCCAGCGCTTTTCGCTGCTAATGGGCTATAACATAAAGCCTAGAAGCAGCTCAACCAATCAGAACGCAGCATTGATAATAGACCACTAGCTGGATTTACTACTAGACGATATTCACTGATTCCCCGACTCGCGACGGCCCTGGGACGAGACACTAATCGCAGCATGTTTGCGAGGCTAATGCAGGGAACTTCTCAGCGAAATCACAAACAAACATCAGTAAATTGCGGCTTAGTCGCTGAAAGACGATGGAAATCAGAAAAAAACTGCAAAAGTTTAAAAGGTCAAACTTAACGGGTGAGCTAAAGGGATACCGGTTTCAATTAACAAAACTGTGGTGAGAGCTGGTCGTACTAACAGCAAAATTGAAAAAAGCCACGAAGCCAAAAGAAGAAACAAGAAGTAATCTTAACTAGAAAATGGTAAATTGTGTCAAAATGTCAATATTCGAATCCTTTTTGTATAATATAATACTTCTTATTATTTCTTTTCACTTGTGTATCTCTGTAAAATGGAAGTTAAACTACTCAGTATATTATCGTCTCTACAAAACACTGTGTTCAACTGCGTGCATGTTTTTATACTCTCACACAGCTGTGATCAAAGATTTTGACAATAATGTAACCTAAAATTATAAATAAACTTTAATTTTGAAGACATCTCTGTTCAAACCGATTTAATTTCCTTAAAATGCATGGACTGCATGCAGAACACTAAGCCCCGTCCTGATAAGTAATTATCCATCGAACGTACTTGTTCGGTTTACTTCAGTCAAATACAACGTGGAAGATTGTGCATCCGCTCCGTTAGAAAATTTCAAATGCAAACTTTTAAGGACACTGAAATAATCAAAATGGCTTCGGGGATTATTCGCATTTTCAATATTAATTATAAACTCGTTCACTAAGCACTCTTCCCATCAATATCTGGTTAGGATGGCTGTTTTTCTCAGTGATAACGAGCAGATCTTCATTTTGTTGTTTGAAATAATGATCTCTCAAGTATGATGGCCCTCCGGAACTTTACAACGTTGAAAATTTTCCTTAAATTCGGCAAACTCAGCCGCAGTTTTCACATCTTTGTATGTCTTCTTGGCGAGAAGTTCCTAATATTTGCCTAGCATTCATGCTCAAGGCCCACTCGTTTCAGGACCATCGAGGAATACGAACATTTTCTACTGAACGAGATAGAATATTTAAGCAATAGACCACACTTTCTATGGGTTTACCGGCGTGATAACCCACGCGGGATGTTGGGAGAACACGAGAAAAGCGGAGTTGACGGATTTTTGCTGACCAGTCCATCTCAAAAGTTGAAAAAAAAACCTGTGGGGTCTATTGTTCATGTTTTCGATTCTGTTTGTATAAAAGGTCGCCATAGTTTTCAGAGTGGGATGTTCAAGAAGTATCTCCATAGCTGTGTGAAGAATGATTCTGCCAATAAATTCAACAACACGACGTCATAATGAAGTCAAATTACGTCATTGTGTCAATCAAGTTATTCCTAGGCGTTGGTTATAATGAATACATTAATACTATTCTGTGTAATTTTGGTGCCCAAATCATGACGGCTGTTACATGAAGGAAAATAAAGCCCAGTCTGAATAGTGTTAACAGATAGTTAATACGAACCGAATTAAAATCACCAATACGCCATTTTCACGAGGAGGAAATTTGACTACAACTACCAGACTTCATTTCGTTTTTGCTTTCTTATTTAAATTTGTCACATGATCCCGCTGAGGTTTAAAAAAAGCCCTAATTTGTACACGAAAACAGCAAACTGAAAGATTCTGAAACTTTTAGTATAATGACGTCATCATGAAATTGTCCCATTCCAAAAACTTCTCTTGAAACTTCACTTTGATATTAATGGGTACGTTGGCGTAAGGATTAACCGGTAATCGCCATTATTCCCTGTTCAACTCGGATTGGTCAATAAAATTCAGTCTTAGAAGCCCGAGAAACATATCTTGGTTAATACTATGTTAATCCTTCCATTATTAACGAACACTCTCGTAAGAAGACCAATTTTCGCCATTTGTGCTGTGTCGAGTAACATGCACGAAAGAAGTTATCCTTCAAAATAGATGAAAACACGAGTAACAGGTCGTCAACCCAAGACTCCTAGTCCTAGCTATAAAAACAACACCATTAACCCAAGCCAAAGGGAAGTGATATCAGTTCCAGCTCATCTTCAGACGCTGAGAGGTCATTTAGCGGATGTGACCAGGCCATATAGCAAGAAACTCTGGATCATACTTCCCCGGAGGCTTATGGATGGGTGTGGTCTTTATTGCTTTCGTAAGCATCGTTACCTGGTGTCCATTTACAACTGCAATGAATGCAGTGATCATAATCGCTGTTACGACCAATTGAAACATCGCTTAAAAACCAAGTCTATAACATTGAAGTTGCCTTTTTGCATTTAACTGATGAAATAATGGGGGTGATTGGCCAAACAGAATAAAGGGAAAAAAAGTGCTTCAAAGCTTATTTTATCGTTAATTTGTTTGTTGCCTTAAAAAAGTAGTTTTGCTAGTCAAAATTAGTTTTTTTTAATCCCTTTTTCTATCTTCAGCTTTAAATTTTGGGATTTCTGCACAAGAACCTAGTATCTAACTCTGGTACAGGAGCTGATTCAACCTATAGTGAAAGGGTATATCTTGGGGCGGCATCATCGGCTTATAGAGTCATCCCAAACACAATCAAAGAGTCATAAAAAAATCGCGATAAAAAAAAAGATTACGTGCAATAGTTTATTTTGGGTTCAGTTTTAGAAGAATCGCCGTCTGATTAAAAGTTAACGCATATTGCAGTTTTAGATATGGATTTCCCGCCTCTCAGATACAAAGCTTACTTAAATAATTAAGTTGAAAGTAGTGTTTTCAATTATACATTACTGGAATGATGTCTTGATACACAATGCAGATCGCTATCAAGAGAATGCAGCTTTTTACTGAGTCTACAATCATAAGCGATCAACGAAGTTAATTGCAGTGAATACCACAACTCTACACTCGCAGAGTAATAATTAAATTATTGTGCACATGAGCTTCGTTTTAATTTCGAATTCAATTGTCAGGTGCAAAAACAAATTTAAGTCAAAAAGAGAACGTGCATTTAATCGAAAGACGTTTCGGTGTTATCGTGACGCAGTTTTCAAGTTCCAAAAGCGTCTATAAACTGTCAGAAAAAATTTGATTTCTCGAGCGCTACTTGGTCGAAACTATGGTCGATAACAGTACAGACGATGGGAATGACTTAATGGCGACGCGATTTGTTCTCCTCTTTCTCGCGCGCTCAACATCAGCGACCGAGAAACTTCAGCAGAAATGGACGTCAAAAACTGTCAATTTTACCTTAAAAAATAAAAATCGATGACAATATTCCATGGTCTCTACTCTTAACGATCATAGAAACGACGTCAAAATGTTCGAAACTTTGCATTAAAACCACTTGAGTTTTGAACATTCTGACGCAAATGGTTTTGCTCGAATAGAGTCCGATTTGGCATTAAAGGTGTCTGAGTTCCCCAATCAGCAACATTTCAAGCACAAAACAATCGGACTTGCTTTTACACTTTTTAATAACAGGAAACTGGTTGTCTACGTCTTTTGGACAATACAGTGTTTTTTCGTTATAATGTTTGCCAACAGAGGAGGCTATAACTTGCATCGCACTGTTGGTTTACAAGAAGGGGTTTTTATCTCTTGAACTTTGAGCTTCTACTGGATTTTGTTGTTAGCGAAATCTGGTTGGATGACTGTGCGGATCTTGTGGCTGGGGCCTTTTATATGCACGCTGCTTACGAGCTAAGTCCACTAAAACTCAACGATCTTTAAAGGGCAGAACTATTCGAACTTCAGGGATATCTGAAGGAGCAGAAATCGGTAGCTGGTCTTCGGCCTTTGAAGCCACAAAATAGCTGATGCTAGTGTCAATAAGACGATGGGGATATTTAAGTCAAGAGAGAATTCATATCAATCGGTCACATTCGTCGAAAAACTACGACCAAAAGGACGATCTAAAGCAATACGCGCGATCAAGCGTGGTTTTCGGCTGAGCCGTTGTCTATGGCGCAATCGACATGGTTCTGCTAGTGAAGCAGAAGTCCCGTGTTGGTAGCTTTTAGGTAGAGCTCAGCCTCGATTTTAGGGGCTATATTCAGAAGCAACATACCGAGAGGAGGACACACAGTCGTCTCTGTTTCTATCGTGAATTTAATTGAAGAATGGAAGATAAACCTCTAAAAATCCTTTTGGTAAATTTGCGCAACTTCGCTTTTTGAAGAGAGAACGCATTCCAAGCTAAAATGTGCTTTTCCGATATATATTTTTTTTTTTTCAACCCCGCGGTTATTCCTTTGAGGCTAATTACAACCTGTATTCATTGTAAATCTTATATTTACCACAACAACCACTGGATCAGTAGAAAATAGCCCGATTTAACAGTCAGTGTGATAGATGATATGTGCACTGACAAGCTTAAGGAATTGCCCATCAATCCATATATTGTTAAATGGATCAGTAATTTTTTATTTAATATACAACAAAGAGTAATAGCTGATACTGACACGACCCCCTTTTTTCCATAAACAGAGGTGTACCTCAGGGCACTATACTTGGACCCATCCTGTTTTCTGTAATGTTAAATTGATATACCAGCTGTTGCTTCAGACAGTTCCATATTGGTTACGTAATTGCAGATGACCTAACTTTAAGCCTTCTGTTGAAGGGAATCCAGAACCAAGCTCCCCAAGAAGTGCAAAACATACTCAGTTGGGCCCAGGACTATAAGCCTTCTTACTAAACTAAGGAGATGGTTGTTAAGGGTAAATTTGAGAGACCCCTTCCCACCGTCACTTTTGATATAAAACAGGAAATATTTTTTAAACTTTATCTTCTAGTTAGTAATCCTACAAATTGGGACAAGCAAATTGATGCCCTTCTTAGCAAAGCAGGGAGGCGTATGCACATACTACGAGTGTGAATGGATATGGCTATAGTCTAGACTCTCTACACCACCTCTTCCACAGTTTGTTTGATTATACCTGTTTTTACTTATGGCATTTCAGTATGGGATGTTGCTAGTTATGATGAGTGTCTTTCCCAAATAGACAAGTTTCAGAAAAGAGCAGTTCGTTTTGGTTTCCTTAAGGAAGTTTCACCCGTTCTAAGTCTTTTAGAGGCCTCAGATAGTAGGTTATGGAAGAGTAAAACTACTTCTACTGATAGCCCTTTGGTATATCTTCTCCCACCCAGTAAAACAAGATTGCTAAGGAATCGTGGTCATTCCTATGTACTTCCTCAAATTAGGACTGAACATTTTAAACGCTCTTTTATTAATAGATGCCTCTTCAGTTTTATTCAATTGTCTATTGTAATCCAGAACGTTTGTTTTTTGTAACTAATAAAGAGCAAGAGACTATTAAAGAGCTTGTTACTTTATATTTATATTTACTTTCTTTATTTATCATGAAGGAAGCAGACATTATAGTTATACATCTTTAGCCTTACTGAAGCGGTATCGCGTGATTCACTCTTCCAAAAACTCTTTCTCAATGTTTTCAGCTTCCGTGTGGTCTTTTTTAAATATCAGTTGAATAAAAGCAACGCGAAACTGTTTAATTCTTACACAAAAAATAACTGGGTTTAACAACGATTTGAGAACTGCTGTAGCTCTGCCTGTGAAAAGAGCAATGTATCCTAAATTCACTGATTTGATGACATGATTTGATACCAGAGCTCGTGCTACTATAAAGGGAAATAACACAGCATTAAAACGAAAAGAACCGTTGCTGTCAGTTTAGAAGCTTTTTTCTCCTTTAAGAATTTCTCTCTGGCTTCCAACGAGACTTGCTGGTTAGCGATTTGTTTTTGATGCCGACTTGTTTCGTGGTAAAGCAAAACAGGCAGGACTATTTCGTTTTGTTGTTATCTACTTTAAAGGATCACTGTTTTCCTGCATGTTAACCAATGAGTTCAAATGTCGGAAATGGTCTTCTTAAGAAAGAATTCACCTTTAATGGAAAGATTTCCTCAGTATTAACAGAAAGATGATTTTAATGTTTTGATGACTTCAGCTAAAAGTCATCGATCAAGTTGGATAAAAAGTACTGAAAGGCCGGGAATATTTTTAATTAAAAAGCATCATTGATCTCAGCGCGAGCGAACCAGCTGATGAATTTAATTTCTTTATTCCGATCGAAATGACTTATTAAGGAGGCATCTTGAACGTGTTTCGCTGATTTGTGCAAATTCATGCAAAGTCGACCGAATTCACTCGTAGAGAGCGCCTTCAGAGAAATAAAAAGAGAAAAGTTTTACTATCACGTAACATAAAAGGATACTTAACGCTCCGAATTGCCAAAAAAGTCTTTTTTAAGCTCAACTATGAAAACAATGTCCGTTGGCGTTGGGATTAACGAAGCTTTTTAATAAAAAATGTTCGCTTTACTGTCGGCTCTCGATAACTCAAGCCTGCACGGAAAATAATAATAATAATAATAATAATAATAATAATAATAATAATAATAATAATAATGATAATTGTAATAATAATAATTATAATATTGATAAAATTTAAAAAAACCATTATTCAATACTCATAAAAAAATACCCATGTACAGTGCTTCACTTAAAAAAGAATTAAAACGAAGTTTATACCTTAACATCTGTTAGAAAAAAAAATCATTATGTCTCAATATCTCTTGAAATATAATCCAGGAATTTGTTTCTCTACTAATTATTATTACTATTGCTTTTAGCAATCACTACCAATATTTAACACCTTTTCACTAATTCCTCTTTAAAATGTGCCACGATTTCAACATGAACCAACAACGATAAGAATATTAAAAAATCATATGGCAAAACCAGTCTTAGGGAAATCCTTGCGCTCTGATTGGCTCTAATTGGTTCTTTCTCGGTCGGGATTTTCCATGGAAACGGTCCAAGCCGTGTATTTTTGTTTTGGAGCAAAGCCGGCAAATTCAAAATTTGAAACCATAAAGTGAAAAGTGTGAATATTGTCATTCTTCATAACGAAACTACCAGAAAAAGCTAAAATTTCACTGAGATTTCAAAGGATGGATGAAGAAGACGAACATTCTCCGAGCTAGGTCAGTATTATCCTAAAAATCTGGAAACTTTTCACGCAAAAATGAAACAGGCATCGCCGAAAGCCAGGAGGCCAAAGACGATTTTATCAACCAACAGAAAAGTGCAAACACAAAAAAGAAGACGGCTACTGATATGAACACTCTCCTCCACTAGATTGAAGCTAATGGTTGAGCTTAACCAATTTTGTCGAAATTTGCTTGAACGCACGGAGGAAAAAAGGAGAAGAATAAGAACCGGCGAAAGTTCCCAGTCTTCAGCCCAGTATAAGCTTACAGTAATACTTAGAAGAAATCAGTATATATTTAACATAACCAAGAACAATGAGTTCGAAAAATCCAGAAAAGTCCTTGCAGCGAAGCCAATTCGAAAGTCAGTTGTTCTGACACGAGCACGGCGAAGGAAACGCACGGCAAGCTGCTCAGGCCAGCCATGAAGACGAAGAGGATGCCTTTTTTTTTATTTTGAATTCGGCGACCCCAATCCAGTTGCGCTCCAAAGAACTGTGTGGTGGTTTTTATACAAAACTTTGGTATCCGAGCAAGAAAATATCAGTCAAGTGATACGTTACTGTCTTCCACCGCTCCAGTTTTTACAGGTGCAAACCAAACATAGGATCCATCAGCAGGTGCACATTCCAAATATTTCATGGTAACGTGAAAATTGTCCAGAATGAAAGGATTATTAGCGTCGAACTGTTATCGGCAACGATGAGGACGATTGACTTTGAAGCTATGTTTGTTAACTATTTCCAGTTTTGAATTTAATTTTCACAGCTTCAAAGAAAGTATTGTTTGATCGACAAAAAACGCTTTCTCGAATTTTAGAATCAACAATTGCTTTTTTCAGCTAATCAAAGACGATTTCACATTCAGTAAATTGGTTTCTCGAACTCGTGTTAGCTTGCTTCTGTCTGAACTGAAGAATACGTCACGGCGGAAGCCATATAATAAACAATTCAACTTACTAACCGAGCTTGCCTGAGTCGCACTGGGGAATATTAGCCCGAAGTCGTGGCAGTACGGACCGAGCGCAGCGGGGTCCGTACTGCCACGACTTCGGGCTAATATTCCCCAGTACGGCCCTCGCGCTCAGTTAGTAAGCGGTTATAATAATTTATAGCAATGGTTAAATACACAATCTTCAATATCTTTTCTCTAAATCAAAATCTAGCGTGATAATAATAATAATAATAATAATAATAATAATTTTTTTTTTATAATAATAAAAACAAAACTTTATTCATAGATTTAAAAAAAAAATAGACTATTTACAGATTCAAGAATATGAAATATTAAAATATATACCCTATGTACATTTTTCTTGTCTACGAATCGGCATCTAAAGACTATCCTCCTCAGAAAGGTGCTGGAAGTCTAAGGTCTCGGGATGAGACTTGACTGGATATTTCTCCCCAGGGAAAATCCCTGTGCTAAATTTTACATAATTATAATTATAATAATAATAATAATTCAAAAGTAGGTTGAGTTTGATCGTCCAGGTGAACGTAGTCCTGAGTAGGACTGTTGTTGTTGACAGTGACTGACGTTTCGAAAACCTGTGCGGTAGTCATCTTCATAGTCAAAGTGAGTTGTATCAAGTCGGTTGATGATATTATACTCTGGTTATTGGTCTGATTGGTCAATTACGCTGCGATGTTATTTCTCGTCTGTCAGTTAAGCCGTGATGTTTTTGGCTATGAAGACTTGTAATCAGTAATTGGTGTTTTTCGATCCGTCTATTGTCACAGTTAAATGGTCGTCTGTTGTTAGTCAAATTGTCAGTTCTCTAGTCGTTCTCTCGTGGTTAGTTTTACTTGATCTCGTCAATAAGTCGTTTGTACGGCGCTGGTAACTGTTGGCTACGATTCAGTGGCGTTTGTTCTATGTCAGTAAACCAGCTCTCTAAAGTAAGACGTTGATAGTAGTCTGTATATACATGTCGCAGAGTCCCAGTCAATTTGATGTTTCGTCTGTAAATGGTGCTCAGCAATGTGATTGTTGACGTCACCATCACTCGTCGCTCGTTTGTATTCGGTCAGTCGCGTGCCTAGGTTTCTGCCGGTTTCACCAATGTAAGAAGCCTGGCACTTGCATTATTTGATCTTGTATACTGCTCCCTGTCTTCCTCCGGTTTGTCTTTGTCCTTGACATTAGTAAGCAGTCGCCGTAAATTGGTTATCGGTTTGTGTGCAACACGTATATTGTAAGGTTGTAATTTATGTGCAATAGTTTCAGAGGTGCCTCTGATGTACGGTATAGTCGCTGTCGTAACAGGGCCAGAGTTTTCTGAGTGTTGGAATCAGTGTTACTGTCCGTCTAACAAAGTCCGTGTTGTAATTGTTTTTACTAAAAACGTTGTTAAGATAATCGGTCTCGTCTTTTAGGCTGTCAGGTGAGTCGCAAACTAGTTGCGCTCGTCTCGTTAAAGTCCGGATAGTAGTAGCCTTGTGAGAGGTCGGGTTGTACGAAGACTGGTCTAGTAATCGGTCGGTATGTGTCGGTTTTCTGTAAAATGTCGATTTTTAGTCTGTTGTTGTCGCGAGTGACCAAGCAGTCTAGAAAAGGTATCTTACCATTTTCTTCGATCTCCTTGGTGAACTGTATGTTCGTGTTCTGTCTGTTAAGGTGTTCGTGAAAATCGTCTATTCCGTCTTTGTGTACGGCGGTGAATGTGTCGTCAACGTAACGTACAGTTCTCGTGTAGGTAGCTAGGGCTTGTTCCTCGATGTTTTGCATGACAATTTCTGCTACAACAACAGAAACTGGAGAGCCCATAGCTGTACCGTGTAACTGTTTGTAGTGTTTGCCGTTGTACTGAAAATACGTCGAAGTCAAACAGAGGTTGAGTAGGTCCATAATGTCGTCTGCAGGTAGTACAGACGTACACAAAGACGGAATCGACGATTTTCACGAACACCTCAACAGACAGAACGTGGACTGCGCTTGCCGCATTTGCAGATGCTGGACTTGAATTCATACCTTCTTTTTTCCTTAACTTTCATAAAGATGTTTCTGCAGGACTATCTCGTTTTGTTGGGGTGACGATCTGTGACTCACTTTTATCTATTTTAAAGGATTACTTTTTTTTCGTGCATGTTAACCAATAGTCAAGAGCTCAAATGTCGAAAATGGTCTTCTTAGGGTGATTCACTGGTTTTGCTCTGCGCATCTCTTACTGCGCATAACAAGATGGCCACCATAAAAAAGAGCATCTGAAGTAACATTATTTAAATGAAGTTAACTA